TTCAAGCTTAAAATCACCTTCATAATCTGTCACATTCACCCATTTTTTTATTATCTTTTACGGAATAATAATAATAATAGTTATTATACAGTTATTTTGCAAGACTTTGCTATCTTCAGTTGCCTGACTCGAGCGGATTTTCGTTACGTAGGTATGAATTCATAAGTATTCATTATAAATTCATTCAAGTCGTTGGCACAGGGTTGTAAACGAGTCTAGCTTGAGCGAGCTCAGACTTGACTCGTGTTCGACTCATTCTAAATTGTTCTGTGTTCGAAATTGGCTCGCGAACAGTGTGTTCGTGTTTGGCTTGATTTAAATATTTTTGTTCTCGCGTTCGGCTCGATTTAAATATTTTTATTTTAAATTACGGTGGATACACATGCAAGTTGAATGGTACCACTATAGGATGCAGTAAGTGTGTTATATGTCACTTAGCACCCATTTTTTTATCATATTTTACGGAATAACTATAGGATGCAGTAAGTGTGTTATATGTCACTTATAGGAGGCGGCTCGAGTGGCTTTTAAGGGTCTGTTTGGGGCAGCTTGTGCGTTTCAGGATAAACCTCTTATCCTGAAAAGCGGCCCGCGGGCCGGCCGCTGGGGTCGACTTGCGGCCTGCGTTTAGTGTAAAAACCAAAAGCAGTTTCAGACAAGTTGGCGAAATGCGCGAATCAAATGGTATGGCGGAGTTTTGAAAACGCCGCCCGCACTTATAAGCTGCCCCAAACGGACCCTAAGTTTAACGAGATGGTGTGGTGCCAAGTTTTTCAGTCTATGGGAGTTTACAATGTTTGGCTTGGAAAGAAAATGTATAGGAAATAAAGGTTTTGTCATAACATTGAATTATTGAGGAATTGTTCAAGTATTTACTCAATAATTAGGAGTGTCAAATTGCATTGGTGAGTCGAGTTCAGGTTTGATCCAAAGTTGACCCAACCAAAAACTATTTGACCTGAACCCCACTCGAATATTAAGTTGGTCAGAAAGTACAGGCCAATCACGACCTGCCTTCAATACGCCAACCTGAACCCGACCCGTATAATTCATTTATCATAAGGAATAACAACTATTTCGGTCAAATTCTAGTCAATCTCGCACCCCACTTTACAACTCTAAACTTTTCTCCTTTTTATTACGGTCAGTCTTCTTTCAAAAGAAATTCTAAATTTCCTCCAATTTTCTCCCCGAAAGTCATATCTCTTAACACCAAGAGACAAGTCCCTTCATCCAAGAGGCATATCTCTTCATTAAAGAGTTTTTCGAAAGTGTCTAGATGCATTGAACCACTCTATAAGACGTTTGAATTATTTGGAGCCTTCAAAAATCGCTCAAAAATAGTCACGAATCGCTTTACTGTCTTAATTCTTCTTTGGCGCTTTTAGCGCTAGCCTAATGAAGTCTGCGCTGTTCTCTGGATTTTGGCACCTCTAGCGTCGCTTCTCTGTAAAACGGCTTCTTTGGCGTCAGCTCTCTGGAAAATGGCGTCTCTGGCGCCAGGATCATGACAATCTTCATTTTGACTCCAAATTTTCTTTTTTTTGCTACTTTTTGCTTCAAATGTCTTAAATTGATATATCTGCAACAAAAACATGAAAATATCATTATTTAAAGTTCAATATCACCAAAATAAGCATAAAATGTATACTTAAAATAGTACATTATTTTGGTGTATCTGTATGCATGAAAATCTTCCCTTTTCTTGATTCCTCTTTTGCTAAATGAAAAGAGCGACCATGTAACTACGTACATTAACCTAAAAATAGCACTATTTGTTTTAATTCAAGCTTAAAATCACCTTCATAATCTATCACATTCGCCCATTTTTTTATCATCTTTTACGGAATAAAAATAATAATAGTTATTATACATTTATTTTGCAAGACTTTGCTATCTTCAGTTGCCTAACTCGAGAGGATTTTGGTTACTTAGGCATGAATTCATAAGTAATCATTATAAATTCATTCGAGTCGTCGGCATAGGGTTGTGAATGAGCCAAGCTTGAGCGAGCTCAGACTTGGCTTGTGTTCAACCCATTCTAAATTGTTTTATGTTTGAAATTGGCTCGCAAACAGTGTGTTCGTGTTCAGCTCGATTTAAACATTTTTATTTTACATTATGGTGGATACACATGCAAGTTGAATGGTACCACTTAAGGATGCAGTAAGTGTTTTATATGTCACTTATAGGAGGCGGCTTGAGTGACTTTGAAGTTTAATGAGATGGTGTGGTGCTATGTTTTTCAGCCTATGGGAGTTTATAATGTTTGGCTTGAAAAGAAAATATATATAGGAGATAAAGGTTTTTCCATAACATTGAATTATTGGGGAATTGTTCAAGTATTTACGCAATAATTAGGAGTGTCAAATTGCATTCGTGAGTTGGGTTCGGGTTTGACCCAAAGTTGACCCAACCAAAAACTATTTGACCTGAACCCCGCTCGAATATTAAGCTGGTTAGAAAGTCAAGGCCAATCACGACCTGCCTTCAACACGTCAACCCGAACCCGACCAGTATAAATCATTTATCATAAGGAATGACAACTATTTAGGTCAAATTCGAGTCAATCTCAGGTCAAATAAGTGTTCGACTAGCCAATTTTGAGTTAGTTTAGTATTTGTGGGTCATTCTTGGGTTGACATGTTAATCCAAAAATTATTCAAGTTATCCCGAACTCATGTTGAATGACACATTGATTTATTTTTTACTTCCTCATGCATGAGTTGAATCATTTAAGGAATTTACTAAAAAAAATTCCTACGAAATACACCCAATTAAGTTCATCTTTTCTTATGGAGATTAAAGGTATTCCTTATTCACATAATTTGAATTGTATAATAAAATAAAAAACATTAATTTATAAAGAAAGTGAAAAAGAAACAAAAAAAAAATCATAATATTATTTGTTTTTGGTAAACTTTGCAAAGTCTTTACATTTTTCACAAAATTTAATTGTTTTTGTAAAAATTCAACACTGAATAACAATCGTAAAAATGTCAAATTTCACCTTATACATCCTTAAGCAGTTACAAAATCATCCCCTCTTCTTCTTCAAAATAGAAATCCTCCTCTGCACCTCTCTTTCAGCAGTCTGCACATAAAACTCAGAACCAAGCATGTCCTTTATCTCTACATTGGAAGATTTGCTTGCTTCGGTGGTATCGATGATAGCTTCGACGGAGAGCGCGAAGCCCAACGCAGCGAGCAAACGCACAGAATTGGCAATCCTGCAAATATGCTGTCTGATTTCAAGTGGAGTTTCATAATGCTGCTCTTTATCTTTCACCATGCTATCTTCTTCATCGACCACCATGTCATTCACTCTGGGCGCGGCATGCTCGCCTACCCAAATGAAGCCATTGCATCCAAGTATCAAATCGACACCATATTGTTCGAGATCATGGAAATGCTGCTTGCGGCGTTTCACTAAATATGCCGGAACTCTAAGCAGTTGACCCCTTTCAAGCTGCGCATATAGTAAAAATGAAACAACTTCAGCATGGAAATAGTAAGCAGTCGAGCAATTGTCAGTCCATTTGGGATGGTTGTAAGTTTTCGTGAGTTTGATTGTAAAGATTTAGAGGAGAAAATAACTATTTTAAAAGTTTTGATGGAAATTATAAATATATATTTCTTTTCCAAGAAATTTGACAACAGTTTTTCGACAATCACCAGAATTTAACAGCTTCCCACCATAAAAAATTTTAGAAAACTGAAAAACATAATTCCTAAATAGAATTGTGGTGACGGTAACGGTCAAAAAACATAATGCAGGCAGAAAGTTATTTTTCGACAACCACCAGACTTTAACAGCTTCCCACCATAAAAAATTTTGGAAAACTGAAAAACATAATTCCCAAATAGAATTGTGGTGACGGGTAACGGTCAAAAAACATAATGCAGGCAGAAAGTTGTGCCAAACAAACATACAAAAACTCCTGCCAGAAGAGTGTACGAGTCCTACTATACACATCACATGAGAACTCAATTGGCGACATGAGGTAATCAGGACTTGGAAAGATTGGCTGTAATATTTTTACAGAAATAGTTTGTGTTGTATACCATTTTTCACCTTCTATCAGCCAACACTTTTAGATGTAACCACTGGTTTTCTGACTTTGGACCATCAAAGGATTAGTTTGTTTGACTTGAGTCAGTGATGAATGTTTCCCATGAAAGGGCACAAATTTAGAGACAAGTAAAGCAAGCCCCATTTAATTCACAATGGAACATGCAGAGAAGGATGCTCTTCTACATCTTGGTGAAGAACGTTCAGGCTATTTCTCAAAATATTTCTAGACGCAGACACAGTGATGAATAATGTGAAGAGCTCTTGAATGAAAGAGTTGGTCAACATACAGTCTGCATACACATGAGAGTACAGAGAAATTGTTATTATTATCACGGGAAATTTACGGGGAAAGCCATTTCTACGGTTGATATTTTTTTATACACTTTTTTATCGATCAACCAATGTGGCTAAAATATTGATGAGCTTCGAACCATCTTAGCCAATAAATAATCTTAATTGAGCTGAAATTGAATCCTCATGCCAACAGACGCAAGTAAATATTTAATGCGTGCAATTGAATAAGACAAAATCTATCAAACTAATTAATTCAATATTTAGTCTTCATTTAACCAAATTCAATTAAGCACGCGCGCGCATACATGCATGAATGTATGATAACTTGGCCTATAAATGATTGGGGTCGAATCTGGTCATTTCTGAACTAGACATAATTTGACTAAGTTTCAAATATTGGAGTCAATTTAAATCAATAAAAATATGATTCCTGGCTTTAATTCATTCAAATGTCTAAATCAAATTTATTAAGCCAAACAAGGAATTCTAAAATACTTTAGTCATTGAGCAGGTAATATGAGGAAAAGGAACATTAATGTACACTAAAAGATGGTATGCACGAATCTCAAGGCAATCTAACGGTCAAGATAAGGAGGCCAAAATAACCTATACTACCCTCTCTTTAGCAAAGGTAATAATGTAACTCTACTTTTGGTCCTATCATTTATAAATAGAAGGGTTTTTTCATGTAACGAGGCTCTGGGGCTCTCCTCTCTCAACCCTACATGTAAGGAGAACTCTCCCCTTTCCCTCTCTTGTAATCACATTTTTCAATGGAATAAAAGGGGCCAAAAAGACTAGGAACACCCCCATTCGCCCCGACAAGAGAAGTCTCTTTCTCGCTTCTTCTTTCTCAGTGGGCATAATCAAACAAATTTGGATTCAACATCCTAAAATGTGCAGTGAGCATGGATCGTGCCATCAAAATGAAGAGAAGCAACACCGAGAAAAATCCCTCCACATCACTTAGACACTTCTAACAAAGAGCGCACACGGGGAACTCACACAGCAGCAGATTCACTCCATTTATTCTTCGCCGTCGGCATCACTTCTAACAAAGAGCACACACGGGGAACTCACACAGTAGCAGATTCACTCCATTTATTCTTCGCCGTCGGCAATCTCTGAGAAACTACATCTCTTTCCTCGTAGATCTGCTCCCCACTTCCAAATCTAACAGAGACCGAGCCTATGGTTTTTATCCTAGGTAAGTAGCTTATAGGAGATTTAATACGTCTTAGGAGGCAACACCTACTAAGGTTACATCCAAGAAGCCTGACGCAAAGGCACAATCCGTGAAGGTTGCCAAAGCAGTGAAAGTCTCCGGCGGCCTCCCTCCCTCGCGCGGATTTTTCCCCAACGACCAGCCCTCTTTCCATCTGTCGCGCGATAATTAGCTACTTAATTTTGATATTTTCAATTGTTAAGATCGATAAAAAAATGAGGTAAGAAATTAGAGTTCAAAATTATTGAGAATATATATATATATATAT